TTTTTCTTCTTTTTTTTCTATTTTTTTTTAAATATAAATATATAATTATTTTTTTTTTTTTTTTTTTTTTTTTTTTTTAATGGATTGGGTTGTAAAAATGGCACACAGCATAAAACCTGAAAGGTTTGGTGAGCTTTTGGGTTCAGCCTTCAAGAGTCTGACATCAACCAATCAGATTTTATTTGTATAGCATTTTATCACAGGTACCAAAGTGCTTTCCATTAGTGCAGTAATGAAAATAGAGAACAGAATAGAGACAAGACGAACAAAGGGACACATTAAAGTGTCTCACAGCAACAATGTGCTAAAAGCAGTTCTAACCATGAAAAAACATTCTGACTATCAAACGATGGTCACCTCAGTGTTTGGGGTTTGATCCCACAGATGTTGGTCGGAGGACCAAAGAGCTCCAGCAGGGCGATGTCCTTGTAACAGATTTCATAAATAAAAAGTTAAAAATCAACTCTGAAACAAACTGGGAGCCAGTGAAGGAAGTGCAAGAGTGATGTAAAAACAAGCAGCAGCATTCTGGATCATTGAGGGTTTATTCCAAGATAAATAAATAAATATATAAAATCTTATGCCAACCACTCTCAAAAATAAACTAATTAGGAAACTGAAAGTGAGTCAGTTGTGTGTAATTTAATTTCAGCATGCATTCAGCCGTTCTCTGAATGCCTCAAAAGTTTGAACAACCACCATCATGAAGACACTTCAACACAGCAGGAACACGTGTTGTGTAGGTATTTAAATCAAATTTCAGTGAATTGATTGAAAATGGAAAGGCTATCGTTCACTTATGCTGACAGGCTGGATAAGAAAGGGCATTAAAAGTAAAGCAACATATGGTAACATTAGGTGCAGAGATTCACAAATTTATGGAAGTGTTGCAAAGTAGTGGAATCAGTGAATGTGACCAGCTTTTGTCAGATGAGACCAAAGTTAGGTATTGTATCTTACTTGCAAGCACAATTACATGAAGGAAGTCAAAGACCAGATCTCATGGTGGTGGTGGCAGCTTCATGCCGTGGGGATGCTTTTCAGGAAAGTTGGTTAGTGTTAGAAAAACAGCCGTTCACAGAGACCCTCCATCTGATTTGAATGAGCGCATAAACTCCTTAGCAAAAAGTGCTAAAAGTTAATTGTCCTGTAGAGATTTGGCCCATAAAAACTTTCAGCAAAAGTGGATCTACTGCTACCATACCTTTCCTGTCAGCTGGCAACCATGCACTACTTTGTGCAGGTGTACCATGTACAGACACAGTTAAGCATGAAGTTACCTGTTGTTTGGTAAACATAAATGCATATTTAATCTGTTTCTTTTTAAACATAAACTTAACAATAAAATAAAGCATCTTGCTTTTGAACGAGTTGGAAACGTGTTGATCTTCCACGTTCTTGAAATTCAAAGCAACTAAAATTCCCGTCAAGCAAACGCAGAGCCGAGTTAGTGATCTGTGGCGAAGCAGAGGCTGCTGCGCCACTCTCAGTCCGCATGATCCACGACACTTGAGCTCCAAACCAGGCAATCTGGATAAATAAAGTGCTTTTTTTGTCCCTCAGATCAATGAAGTCATGGGGCCCATCCTGTTTTAGACAAATGTAGGTTTGTTGCCATAGCAGAGTTACCTGGGAAACCGATCAGCTGGTTTAAACCCAAAGACGGAGAGACAAAGAAAAAGACGAAACACGCAGCACTTATTTTCTGCTGCGCTGCGTGTGTATTTATATCCTCCCGAACACCAGCCTGTTCTTAATCTATGTGTTGACGCACAAAAGCTGAAGCCATTTGCAGCCTGCAGAGTTCTTTTTTATTTATTTATTTTATTTTTATTTGGAGACACTCTCACATATCCTGTCTTGCCCCGAGAACCACCGATGCGCTCAAAAATAGATGCAACAGAAACATTTCCTGCAAAAACAAACAAACAAATAAAGAAAGAAAACAGTTCTTTCTTTATTTGATGAAGATGAAGTAGAGCTTGGGCTGCGTAAAACAAGCTCAATTACACTTGTGTAACTTCAGACGCAACCAGTGCTCCTCTTACTGGTTCTACTGGGAGAACACGGAGTGCCACAGGTGGATCTTATTGGTCAGCCGAAGCGTCTGTGCTGTCCATAAAAACGCACAACAGGAGCTCAGGAGCGGAGACCGAGCATAAGGGCGCAGAGCAACCGCGCCACGGAGCTCACACCACGGCCGTGTGTCCAGAGAAAACACGTATCACTGCAGGACTACACGCAGAGGAGCGCAAAAAGAGGACGCCACGCTCTGAAACAAGCCTGTGAGTACATCCATATGAAATATGAGTTGAATTAACTTGGCACGGAGGCGGAGAGAGGAACCATTTGCGCACCTGTTGAGCCGCGTTGTCGTTTGTAACTTTTTTTTTTCTTTTTAAAATACTTTAGATATGGCATAAAGAAAACAATTAGTTTATTTAACAATCACAGGTAATAAAATCAGACTAGTTTATCAGAATTAAATGCAGTTTGCTCTGTTATGTGAAATCACTTAAATTCAAATCAAATAAAAAGAACACTGCGGTGCAGTGGCAGACTTTTTCTTATTTTGCCCTTCTCTCAGGATAATGTTATTTCTCCCCGAAGTTAATGCAGCACACCTGCTCTTTCAGGATAACCGGAATAGTTATCTTATTGACACCGTTTAAATTGTTTAAAAATAATTTCACATGTTCAGGGTTTCATTTATTCCCCGTTTTGAAGTCGATATGCATGAATTTTATCCAGATATTTTGTGAAGTGCATTTTATTTCATATTGCCCATTTCAGTCACTTGCTGTTCAAGCTACCACCAGATTAAACCGATCAAATTTGCGTTATATGACTGTTTATTCTCGATTTGCATTTAAACAGAATGGCAGTTTTTAAATATGATACAGTCGCATGAAAAAAATAAAATGAGAGAAATGTCCATTTGTTCTTTCATGTATAATAAGTGCAAATTGCATTCAATTTCATGCATATAAAAATCACGTGTTATTCACACAAAACAATGCATATAAACAAAACTATATTTTTTAGTTTAGGAAAAAGTCTGGACACTTTTCTCAATTAAAAGCTCTGTAGCCTTTCCCCGAATTTGGCTGAAATAACTTCAGTTAGATGCAGCTTGTAGCATCTACTTGTCTCTGCAGGCTCTGACATCAGTCTGAGGAAGGTTTCCCTCATGTTTGAGGGTTTTATTACACATGCAGCCTGTTTTAAGTCTCCCTACAGCCTCTCATTGAGATCAATATCTGGACTTTGATTTGACCTAGGACTTTCCTTTGCTCGTTTTTTTTTTTTTTTTCCCCAATCCTCAGTGGATTTGCTGGTATGTTTTGGGTCGTTGTCATGTTGCAGGATCAGTCAGCGGCCTTTTTATGTTTTTCTTATGAAGCAAATGTTCCTTCTTGAGCGCCTCTAAAGTAAGTCAAACTTGTTCAATCTGGTTCTGATTGTGAAGGCACACGAACGTCTGTATAAACCACACCAAGAGTAACATTTGGAGACTTCTTTTAACACCTTTGCTGTCGGGGTAAACTGGCGTGTATGGTCAAGGTTTAGTTAGCATGTTGTTTTGAACATGCCTCTGGGTTGGACCATTTGCATACTGGCTAATGGGTTATTCCAAGATCATTGGGAACTCTTTAAACATTTTACTGGTGTTTTAAGGTAAATGTGCTACAATCTTCTTTCTGAAGGTCTTTGTGAGCCCTTTCAACTTCACCATGATCTAATAGTGAGAAGCCCTCCCAAGCTACATGTCTGAGGTTTAAACAGGGAAAACCCTCTGAGGAGCATCGAATGGACCTGATGTGATCCACTTCACTCAGATTCAGGGCCGTGCAGAGACCACTAAAGGGGCAGGTGCTCAAAAAAGAAAAAAGGGCACATGTTACCGCATTCTAGGACAGAATATTAACAAAGCCACACAGCTTTCAG